GAGCTTACAGGGGTCTGGGATTCACCCCAGCTACCAGGGCCTGCAGAGCCTGGAGCGGTGAGGAGGAAAGCGCAGAGACAGAGGCTTTGCCACTGCTTGCCAGGGCCTGGCAGGGCTGGTACTGACTGTGTCTGGAGCAAGCTGCCTCCCTGCATGGGGCTGCTCAGCTGTTGCTACACCCTCTCCAGAGTATCCTGTTGGCAGCATCTCAGTGCCTCACAGTAGTCCAGCCTCCAGAGCCCTAGGCAGACGCATGTACTAATACAACATTGCTCTCAAGAGTCTGAGAAGTTCTGTTGACCTATTGGTTTGGATAGCCACACTGAGCTATGTACCAACATAAAACAAAATGTTTAATTAAACATGCAACTTTGACTTGAGTCAAAGCCCTCATTTCACTGCCAGAGCCAGATCCCCACTTCTTTTAAGATGTTCTTGATTTCTTCCAGCTCAAGTAGTCAGCAGAGAGAGAGCCTGCAGCAGTACAGAGCAAGTTGAGGAGCACTGTACAGATATTGTTGGAGCTGAGAAGATTTCAGATTCATACCCTTAGGATCCCAACAGGTAGCCTGTCCAGAATAAGCAGGGGTTCCAAGGCAGAGCCCTTATACGACTAGAGACTACTTCATGGGGCAAAGTTTTGGTCCTCTCGCTTTTCCCCATGCTGTCCTTTCAGAAAGCATTGCAAGAGGCCCTTTAGCTAGAAGCACAGAACTGACTTTGTAACAGGAGTTCCCAAGCCACCACTTGTTTTGGACAAAGAAATGGGGGCATTAGGTCTATCAGAGAATGCCCTTGCAAATGGATACTCTGAGCTTGAACCTCCGCTTCCTCCTTCTCCTTGTCCTCACTCCCTTTTTTCAAATCTCAGGCAGCTGAAAGACTGAAAGCACAAGCAGTTCCAGGGCAGAAGGAGGTGTGATGCTCTGGGACCCAGCCTGGGTTGTGTTACAAAAGGACAAGAAAGCCTTGAGTGTTAATGATGGAAAACAGAGAAGTACCAATTACTGCTCACGTTCCTCTGCTCGTGGACCTAGCGTGATTCTAGCATGTTTCCTCCCCATCTCTCTCTGGTGAGCTAAAGACTGCTTTAGGATACTGCAGCACTAGCTTAGACACTCTCCAGCAAGCAACTGGCGTTTTTTATTCCCTGCAACGCAGGGGCCATTTACTGGCGTTTTTTATTCCCTGCAACGCAGGGGCCGTTTACAGGAGCTTCTTCTCAGTGAAAGGTGTTCATTCACGCCCCTTCACAGTTATTTCTACATGCCGTGGGGTGAGTGTTTCTTTTTTTTCCTCTTACATGCAAATGCAAATGTGCACTCCGAGAAGTGGTCATGAGCTGCTAGCTCCTGAGAGTGACATTTGAAATTGGATTTGTCTCACCTGCCATTCAGACATCTACAGCTGTAGTTCATTATCTAGCCTCACTTTATGGTCAGCATTGAGAAACAGGAATTCCTGAGACAAGGTGCACCCGCTCCTCAGTTAAACAAATGCCACAGACTAGATGTCTTCCTCTGGAGGTGTGTTTCCATCCATTGCCTCTAGTAATAGCCTAGATATTAACTTAGAGTCTGAATGTCCAGAGTAGATGAACTGAATCACAGAATCTGTCCTTGCTGTCCATAGAGCCACTACCAGTATGGGAAGTTTGTGTCAGCTCCCTGGCAAGCCTTGCCCTAGACAGGGCTGGGCATTAGAGGGCAGTTCCAAATGGCCACTTAGCTCTTGGCCTCTCTGAGCTCTGTGATGGGAACATCCATGTGCTGCAAGGGCAAATGCATCCCCAATTGGCAGGACTCTCTTCTCCCCTTCCTGCTTCAACACTGGGTCCTATGCTTCCAGGTGGGCACACTCCTTCCTTGCAGGTTAGGGGGCGGCCCAGCAGTGGAGGAAGGCGTGTAACCCAAGACACGCACGCTTTGCACAGACCTGCCGTTTCTCAGCTGCCAGCAAGTGTATGAGTTGCCAGCGCATGAGAGGAGGCAGTGGAGCCTAATGGTAGAAGCAAACACGCTCTGTTATGCCATTATGCGTTTTGGAGATAGACCGGCAGGTAAAGGCTTTGTGCTCTAGCCTTACTGGAATAGACCCCAATCATCATATAAGAAGCTCCATGTCCATCTACCTTTTTCCCCAAACCAGCCATTCCCTCAGGCTCTTCACTCTCTAAATTAAAACAAGGAAGGCACTTCCTAAATCTGACAGGGTTTCTCCCTCTCCCTGGCTGGCATCCCCCAGGTTACAGGAGGGCTAGAGCTCTTTGAAAAACACAGGTGGGTAGGAGAGGAAAAGTCATTAGTACAGTAAAACCCTGGCAATACAAAAGATCCACTCACTGATCCTTTTGCAAACTGCTGCTCTGGCTTCATTAAAAGCATAGCCCATGGCTGTCACTGGAGTGGGCTGAATTCACTTGGGGTTATCTAAATGAGAATGTTCATTTCTGCAATGGAAAAAAAAAATGAAACCAGTAGGAATTATTCTTTATGAGTTATGTGCTCAGCTTTCAGACCTATTGAGTCAGCAATGAGAGTCGGATTTCCTAGAACAGCCTTTCATGCTGGATTTTGGATATTTTCTTCTTTTTAGCTCAGAAATATTGTTAGAATGGCCTTTCTCACACTAAGTGACACTGTGGACTCCAGCTGCACCGTGGATGCAGAGGAAATAATGGGGTTTAGACACAGTTATCCAAATCGTTCGTCTTTCTGATTCCTGGCAGTCTTATATGGCTCCCTCCCAGTATGGTTTGAGCATGTCAGCATCTCTTAATACATATAACCTCGTGGCATCCTGATTAGGTAGGGAAGTGTTAATATCTGGTGTGGAAACGAGCGTTCAAATTGAACAGCTAGCTCTGGGAACAGAACGGCGAGCCAATTGAGGGAGATAAACTGAGAAAACATAATTCCTTTCCTTTACAAAATTAGTTTTCTGCCTTTTTGGCTGCTTGAACCGACTTACCATGGGGTCACAGGAGGGCTATCACTGATACAGGTAAAGATGGCAGTTACATGGGATATGGCAGGTACATGCCATTGGGAAGGAGCAGGACCACCCCTATCAGGGTAGCAAGCAGTTATATGGACTTAGCCATACAGTCACATAGCACGCCCGTGTCCCTATCACCTGCTTTAGGTACTTAGCTGACAGATGCTCAGCTCCCTTGGTAATTGCATATGATTCTCAGGTGGCTCTCGTTTCAGTGAGGACTGCCTGGTGCCCCACAGGAAAGCTGTGCTTACGAGTTTATTTTACATCTGAAGAACTGAGAGGTAAATCATGCACTTGGACTTTGGGCAGAAAGTGCCACCCTGCAGGGCTGGACAGCAGGGCAGGCCAGAGGTACAAAGCAGAGCTGGGGGGGAGCCTGCAGGGGGGCTAGCAGGAGAGGCTGTGGGCCCAAGTGAAGGAGCTACAGCAGGGCTGTTGGGGCTGAGAGGGCGGGAGGGGCCGTAGGGTGGGATACACAAGCACGGGCAGAGTCTTGGGAAGCTTCAAGCTGGTGCAGCCAGATTAGGACAGAGCTGACTGGAAGAAGCCCTGGAAGGGAGTACTAAAGCCTATAGGTCAGGATGGAAATGCAGGAATAGAGCTGGGACATGCTGCTAGGACATGCAGCCTCATCTCTCCAGAGTAATACTCTTTTCGCTTCACAAGTCCCATCTGTGCTGATTCACAGAAGTCCTGTTTGCCCCTCATATTCCTCTGCTTTTCAGTTCCTTCCCTGAAATCCAATGAGGACATTGTGTCAACAGATTGTGGGCTGAGCTGCAAAACAGCCAGGCTGCGTGGACCTTGAAACCATGAGGAGGCCTCCTGACGAGCTGCAGTTGAGGCAGCTGACAGCAGTGAGTCTATCTGCTCCGTTCACACAGCTGTCTAAATATTCCACTCCTCCTCTAGCGGCAGCAGCAGCGCCGCATGTCGGGAGCAGTGATTAACATTTCTCCAGGCGAGGCCTTAGGGCAGGACATGTTGGTAGGGTTGGGGCATGGCTGTCAGGCCTCCATCCATCCTGGCTCTGCCACAATTCGCCATGGCAATGCGGCAGCATGTGGGAGAGGATGCCAGATGTGTTGGGGGCTCTGTTTGCAGGGTGATGTTGGAGTGAGAGGAACTTGCTCACGTGGGGAGCACGAGCTGTGTCCCCCCGGCATCCCAGCAGGTGAGTTTCATGAGGGAGGTTGTTCTTACCTGTAGCAGTGTCTATTTACCCATCGGATTCTGCTGTTCGGCAGAGAACCTAATGCATCAAGGGGAGCTGCACTGAGCTCACCACTGTGTTGATCTGAGCACGGCCCAAAAGCATTATCTGCAGAGGTGTGGTTGCAGCTGGATGGAGATGGAGATCTCCAGGTTTCTGCACCTCCTTGCTAAAATCAAGTATTGTGCCAAGGCAAGACTGTTGCCTAGTTCTGCCATGTTTCCCTTTTCCTTGCCTACCTTAACGTAAGACTGGAGGAGATTTAGCAGCTAGTAGAAGAAGCAGTTACATCAAATCCTCCCCTCAAAGTCTCTGCTGAGTTTGAGGTCACGTTTTCCTGCATTTCAGACTTGCAGAGCCTGCACCTGACATCCAGTACAAAGCTAGCTTCTACCATGGGTCAGGGCGTAGCATACACTCAGCGAGAGCAGAAATCAAAGAGGGGCACTGCAGCTAGAATGATGCAATGGTGAAGCTTATTTATGAGGAGGGGCTGCCGTAATCACTTGCAACCAACTTGTTTTGTAAAAGGAGTTATGGAGCTTTAAACGTAAATTAAAATGCAAACTCAAAGGGCAAGAGGGGTGAATGATTGTGATTTTGTATTTTGGTATTTTAATCTGTTTTTTGGCTAGTTCTGCTTGCATGCAGTAACTGACCTGAGCTGAGCTGACTCAGCCTTTCCTGTTACTTTAGCAAGGCTCTTGACCCCGATACTGCATCTAATTATGTTGGGTTGGTTATTTGGGGAGCTGCTGTTTAATCTGCTCTCTATTGGCCCCTGCAGATCTTTCACATGACCTACGATCTGGCCAGCGCAGTGGTGCGGATCGTGAACCTGATTGGGATGATGCTGCTGCTGTGTCACTGGGATGGCTGCCTGCAGTTCCTCGTGCCTATGCTGCAGGACTTCCCCGATGATTGCTGGGTGTCCCTCAACCGCATGGTGGTAAGTGCCTGCCCTGCTCACTCCCTCGCTGCCCTGACCCCAGGCCTCCGTCACAGCATCAACCCTCCCGTCAGCATCAGCCTCCCAGCACCACGAGCGTGGCATTCCCTAGCTGCCCAGCTTCCCGTTTCCTCCCTTCCTGCACTATCCAGGAGTCCCTCCGAAGGCCAGGAACGACACTGTGGCCACAAAGGCTCCTTGGGGTCCACCTTTGGACCGAGTCAGACTCGAGGCTGCGGGAAGGCTGGCGAGCCTGCTGCGGGCCGCATGCAGCAGAAGGCAGGAGCCAGGCTCCCCCTCCTGGCACGAGATAGCAAAGAGCAAGGTTTGAAACGGCAGGGAGCTGGGCATAGCGAGGCAGAGGGGGCCCTGGAGCCATAGCTGGGTCTGATCCACAGAATCCTAATTCCTATTACTGCTCCTAAGGAACCTGCTCATCCTCCGCTCCATATCCACTTGAAAGGTGGCTGTGATCACACTGCCCACTTTTCCCTGGGGTGCTGCACAATATCACCCGGAACATTAAAGCAGGCCGAAGCAGACTGCCAGGCCACGTTTCAGGCTCCCGTTGTGGGAACAATAGCCCGGCTTCCCAGTAACATCCCAAGCTGTGCTGCTTACTGCGCTGTTTGCTGTGAGGGAGATTCATACCGTATGGTAAACGCACAGGGAGTTCATGCTACCTTTCAACCATCTCACTGAGAATTCAGGAGCTTTTATTCAAAGGGACAATGTCCAGTTGATTAAGCAGCAAAAACTGACAAACCTTAAAAAATTGCCTCTTTTTGCGGCTCTTAACCTCCAGATTCCCCCAACCAGTTTCTTCTTTTAAAAAAAAAAAAAAAAAAAGTCAGGCAGAACAGAACGAAAGTAAAATTTAAAAAAAGCCTGGCAGCTTCCCATGCCTCCCGCGTGCAGAGCTGTGGGCACATGCTGCCCATGCTTGAGATGAGTGAGCATCCATGAGAAAGTTGTCTGTCTGGGGTTTATTTATTTATTTCTTCCCACTGCAATAATCACTCACTTCCTGCAGTTGAAAGGTGCCAGACTGACAGTTATAGAGACTGGAGCCCTTTGTTTATCTACAGCAGAGGCACAACCCATGCAGCAGCTGCCTAATCTTCACTCATGTTGCCTTTTTATTATTTACAAGGCAGGAACAATGAAAGATCTGGGCCCCATTGTGCTTATGTTATTCAGGTTTGAAAGACCAGACAGCTCCTTGTCCTGGAGAGCTCAGAGGTGTAGCCAGAAATCATCCCCATCAGATGAAGTGACTTGGCCATGATGCTCTTGCGGGACAGTTTCAGAGCTGCACATTTAAGCCGTATTTCCTTATTCCTAACCTCCATTTACTAGATTGTGCCTCTGGCTCTTTCCCACTTCAGTGGTTCAGTCTTCCTGCAGGGGGACTGATCTTTAGTTAAATGGCCATTGAGGATGTGTTTCTTTGCGTTTAAAACTTGGGAGAGAACCCCAGACCAAAGGCCTACCCACCTCATATTCTAATTGCTTAAACTGTAAGCCAGAGCTTCAGCTGTCCCTAGTCAGAGACCCAAAACTGTCCCCTTTGGGACAGCTCAACAAGCTGAGTTAAGTCTCAGGTCTGGGTACACTGTAAATGGGAGGCTGGCTGAATGGGCTGCTGGCAGTTGCCCCTTTTCTCCTTCTGTCCTCATTTCCCCAGAGGAAAGTGGCTCTTCAGTTCAGCTGTCAGTCGCCAAACTCAGCTCTCCTTCTCCCACTCTCTATGAGGCAGCTGCCAGCTCTCAGCCCAGCCAGCTCTCAGCTCCCATTCAGCTGATCCTGGAGCTTGCCTATGCTGCAGGAGGAGATCCAGAGGAGGGGAGAAGACTCTTCAATCTTTTGAGAAGCAGATATTCTTATCTACCTGTGGTCATTAGAGCAGTGGGTCAATGCACTTGCAGGGCCAAAGCTCCGGCTAAATTTAAAATGTAAATGTGGCCTCTGGCTAATTTCCAGGTCAGTGCCAAAGTTGTTGATAATGTTAATCAGTGCCCTGGAAGTTTACCTGCAAGGAATTAGATGGAGGCTGCCATCTGATGGCAACAACTTCCATTTGCTTTTCCCATCCAACCTGGGAGAAGAGGTAAAACCTAGGGTTGCGCTGCTTTAGACTTGGTTGTCAGCGTTACAAGTGGGAGGAGCACACTCTGCTCAGAAGCCGGCAGATGAGAGCTCCGACACAATCTGCAAAGTGACCTGGAGAGTCAAAGCAACCAGATCTGCCAGAAACTGATGCATAGAAAACCTTCATATTACAGAAGGCAATAAATAGCAAAGACAGACACACATGGTGAGAGGAAGAATAATCCAGAGGTTGGAGCACTGACTGAAAACAGGACACCTAGTTTCAATTCCCAGCTCTGTTACAGATGTCCTGTGTGATCCTAGGCAAGTCAGATGGGAGGCTCAGAGAATTGTTCTTCCTCCTTAGGTGCTTCTGAGGATAAGCAAATACTACAGTGATCAGTATCTAAAACAGCATGAATGTGAGAGACCTGGGGTAATACTGGCTAGGTTGCACAAGTGGATGGCACAAGCTAGTGCCAGTTGGCTCTTGGACACTTTACACACAGAGGCTGTAAAGCCAAACAAAACCACTTGCGTGATGCAGTGGAAAGAAGAGCTACAAACATATCAGGACCAGAGCCTGATGATTTATACGGTCTAGAAAATGAGTAAGCTGGGCCATACCATGATCAGAGTGCGTAAATTACCTTCAATGTAACTGTGTAATGAAGGAAAGTGATTAGCTGCAGTCTTGAAAGATGCCAAAAGACAGGACAAAGAAGGGAGAAAAGATTTAGTCTAGACACCTTTCTTAGCAGCAAGAGTGAGGAGAGATGGGGAAAGATGCATCCCAAAGGCTGGAGGACCCTGCAGAATCTCCAAAAGAGGCAAGATAGAAAGTTTCTATCCAGAGCAGAGCTCTGCCAGGCAAGGACTCACACTGCGCTACTTGTCCTCTCAGCCTAGAGAGCCTGTGAAGCTGGGAATTAAACTTTCTATGTGTGATTTTTTTGCTGATTCTCCTCTGCAGCAAAATCACCTTCACTTTTTCCATTTAATAGAAGTGAAAAAAAAATGATGAGCTCAGTGCCTGTCTCGGACACGGAGTCTCAGGAAACTTAGATGAAGAACTGCAGAGATGGTAAAAGCCTCACCTATAGTCTAGGTGGCTTCAGCTCCAGAAGCTTTACAGGAATGCGACAGCCCCAAAATAGCCTGTATTTAGAGCATTTAACATGAAGTATAATTAATTTTTCCGGAGTAAGATAATTTCTTCTCACAATAAGATTCTATCCTCTGATCTCTTGAGAAGATTTCCAGATGTATCATTTAGAGTCTGTGGACCAGTGAGGAAGGTGAATGGCATGCTTAGTGCAACTATTTACTTATATTCAATAATGAAGTAATAAGAGAGGCCACTGAGTCAGGAAATGACAAAAACCAGTGGCCTGGATTGTTCTCAGACATGGTGCCAAGATCTTGATGGTCATTTCTCTGCTGGGGAGCTGTGATGGACAGGGTTGGGAGGTGAAAGGCCAGGACAGCATCCATCTTTGACAGAGTCCGAAGGCTGGATGTTGGGACATTCTGTACTGACCTCATCACAGATTTGAGGAGATAAATATACTTGGTGCAGAACCATCCCTATTACACACAGGAGCTTAAAAAGCTGGTATGGAACCACTGTGGAAGAAAGAGGAATCTTTTGAAGCAGCTACCTTCAAGAGGAGCTGGAAGGCAGGTGCTGAATGCTTTGGAGGCTTTAGGGAAATTTATGAAATGACTCTCCTTGAGTATACTGCTGCTGCTCTTCCAGAATTTCCCACCTGGAAAGTATAGCAACCTGAAGTGGCTACTTGGCAGTTTCTGCAACCAACTATGCCTCCAACCCCGCAGGGAGAGAAGATTTATCACCTCCTATCGGCTTCTTAAAGCCTTGATCCTCTTCCAAGGTATCTTTGAAGGGTCTGATGTTGCCAAAATCATATCAGGGGCTTGATGAACCCCTGGGTCCAATTCATCTTGGCAGTTTCTCAGTGCTCCATGTTTCATCTTTAGCAATTGTAGAAGGATTGTCTGTAGGACGTCTATTTGAACTGACTCTGAAATGGCAGGGAAGGATGTTTCCAGTATTAATTGCTCAGCCCTAATCTCAGGAGCTTCAGCGTTAGATTCCCCACAGGATGCTTTATTAAAAAGGAAAACGCTAGTGAGACAGCTGCAGAGAAGCCTGTGTGTGGGCAGCAGCACCTCCCCAAGACCCTTGCCTGGCAGCTCCTCATCAGAGAAATCTGAGCTCTGCTGAGACCTGAAAGCTTTTGGAAACACGTGGCTCGCTCCCTTGGGTATTGTGCCGAACTGACAAACCCTGCAGGGAAGGCAAATATCCCCGTGTTAAATGCAGCAACCTTGCATAGGAAATACTAATCATCTTCCCTTCCAGCAAAAGCAGGAGAGTAGCTCCCTCACAGAAAGGAGGAAGAAAAGCTGATGCTGCATGTGTTATGGTGGAAGATAGAGCGATCCTGAACGGATCTTCTGTTTGACCCCTAGCTTCCCCCAAGCCAGCAGATCTCTCATGTTCTCACTCAGGAGGCTTATGAAGCCATGATGTAGGGTATCACGTTTTATTAAATCTGTCACGAAGCAAGAGCAGGGCTGCTCCACGGGGGGGTATGAGCCGGGAGCCAAGGGTGACCCCAGCACAGGCAGTACCCTCACTGAATAGGCCACAGTCCCACAGCATCTGAACAGGTTGAGCACAGCAGGGGTGATAACAGGGTCCACTGACAGTCCCAGACAAGGCAAGTTGATTATCATGTCCAGGGTTCATCCAGCGAGTGCAGTCAGGAGCAGCAGGAGATGGGGCCAGAGACAGAACTGGAGAAAAGGCCCAGCTCACAGATAGAGCTGGGCACAGGTACATCTCGGACGTAGCTCAGGCAAGGATGGGGTGTCCAGGCCTGAGCCTAAATGTAGCTCCTGGAGCAATGGGTATGTGGGTGAGGGTCCCACACAAGGCTGGCTGGGGTAATTAAGGCCTACTCAGGTGCACTCAGAGTCTTGAGAAAATCGTCCCTTTTTTGAGGTGAAGGCCAAGCAAAGCTCTCACTGGAAAAAAGCACAGAACAGGCAGGTACTCTGCTGTGTAGAAGTTTGACCTGTCATCTCTGTTTCTGGCCCCCCTGTTAAACTTGCTTTAAACTTGAGCCCAAGGTCTGTTTTTCCTGCCCAGCAGTTATGATATTGTCCAGGGGAGGGCAACGATGTGCAGAGGCATTAACCTGCAGCACCAGCTAAGCGGTGTGCAGTAGCAAACCCCAAGTAACAACTCTGGCCAGATGAGATAACTGCTGAGACGAATTTGGGAGTTCACATTGAACGTATTATGTGAACCACCTGTAAACTACAGTCCATAGCTCATCCTACTAAGATTTCATCCTGAGGGGGATTAGATGCTGAGTAAAATATACCCTTTCACTTCAGACAGCCTCTTAGTACTGTGAAATGTTAGTGATGTAAGTCAGGCCCGCTGTGCCCATGGACAATGTCCCTACCCCGAGGATTTGCCAGCACTTTTCTGTGTCTTCTCCTCTCTGTCCAGTCTATGCTCCTCAGCCTCAGCAACATCCTGAAGGACACCACACCGCTTCCCCTGTGCCTGTGCCAGGCAGATCCCAACACTGCTATGGAAGATTCAGGAATGTGTCTCCGAGTATTCAAACATGTCTGAGCACAGGCATCAAAGTCCAGACACTAAGCCCAGAGAAATCCTTTCAGTCCTGCTAGTGCAGATGTTAAAAACAAACTAGTTTGAGAAACCCCTTCAAAGTCATTTCAACTCCTTTTTGCAGATGCTCTTCTTGCCTGCCACGTGTTTGATATGACATCTCTCTTGACTATGTTCAGAAACAGATTTGTGGCTCCATTTTAGCTTGCTTTGAATTTTCTTAGTGAGGAGTCATTTTCTTTGTGTCGTTTAAGGCCTCATTTACCTATCCTGATGGACCATTTTAGCCACTCCAGTATATCTGAAGTAGTACAACCTTCCCACTGCAGGGTGGTGTAGTAGTATGTTGAGTCTAGCAGTATGACTGTTAAGGGAAACAAGTTTTATCAGAATAAGGCACCATGATGCCAGTAATCTTATGTCCACATTTGGAACCAATACCACTGGTTTGGCTTAGAGGGTTGCCATTCTTGACCTACTGCTTATTCTGTGGAAAACAAAAGGGTGTAGAGCAGGCCTAAAAAGTAAAGAAATGCTGAGACCTATAAGCGAAGAGTCATCACATCATAGACTGCCATGAGGATCCAGTGCTCTTTACAGAGGCTCAGAGAGCTCAGAAACTGTCCCCTGAAGGGTGATTGTTCTGAAAGATTTCCCCTTCAGGGAAGTGCCTCTGTTTCAGCAGTCCTTGAGCTCTTCTCCCAGCAGGCCCTGTGGCCCAGGATTTTTTTAAACACTCCGTGTTTTCCTCCAGCTCTCACCTGTCCATCTGTCATTACTCAGCGATCTCCTCAGCCTGGCACAGAGCAAGCTGTCCTCGCTGGGAGCCGTGGTGCTGATGGGAGAGCTAGTTGTAGCTTGCAAGTAGGAAGGTTCCCAGGGAGCCAGAACTATTTCTGCAGGCTGCTGGGGCTCAGTGTTGTTGGATATGGTGGTTTGGGGTGACTAATTCCTACAAAATATTGATAAGCCTTCTAAACCCAAAATTTGTTGAACTATTGTCTCCTGTTTACTGAGGAGGAAACCAAACCAGCACGGTACAGTGACTTGCCCACCCCTGAACAACACGTTGCTGGAAGAGTGGCTTTTAAAACCTGTGTCTGTCTGATACCCAGACCCATGTCTTAGGCTGTGATCACCTGTGGTCATTAAAGACCCTAGCAGCCAGTTTCTTGGTATATCAAATTCAAGCTCAGCTAATCTTATGCTGACTCCCCACATTCCCTTTGGAATTTCCACTCGGCATTTCTCTGCTCCCTGCCCTCCATTCTGTTGTGAAGATGGGCTGCCCTGTTAAACTACTGCCACACTAAACCCAGAAGGCAACAGCATTTCTGCAGTGGCTGGTGAGAAATGCTTGCATAGGAAGGGAATTTGCTGTGAGAACTTTCTGGCTAAGAAGCTCAGAAAGATGAGCTGGCATGAGAGGGCAAGGGGAGAAGAAGTCATTCACTGCTCCATTGGACCAAGTTCTCATCTGTTCCTTTTCTCTGCCAAGCTCACCTGTTGCCTCTGTAACAGAAAGGCAGGCTGCTATGGGCATAGCCACCGCGTCAGGGATTGCTGACCTTTTATCGTGACGTTGCCCACCTAAATCAGGAGAACCTCACTGTTGTACCTGCAGCTGGTAGTTTGTAATTAGCGCTGGGACTGAGCCATCTCTCCTTGCCTCACCATGCTTCTCTCCAGTGCACTATACACTTCCGGCCTGAGTGAATGTGCGTGGCCTTGGCCCCGCCACACCCCAAGGCAGTCCTTCAGGCCACTCCTGGCGATCTTGATCTTCTGACTTGCTGCCACGCTGAAGTAGCTGAGGCAGGAACATACGTGTCGTTCTCCCGCCTGGCATCAGCAGTCAGCTGCTGCCCGCAAACAAAGGACCCACTTCCCCCAGTGCACTTTGACAAAACACATCCACGGCGCAAGGAGGGTTCGTCACCCGGAAGGAAGGGGGTCCGGACACCCGCACTACTCGGCAGCACACCGCAGAGATGGGTGAGGCAAAGAGGCCGGCAGATGCACTCCTTTGGCACGTGTTCCTCAGACAGCCCCCTGTAGTGAGACCCTTCCTGCCGCCCTGGGTAGGCAGCAGGGTGCACATGCTCTTTGCCTTTGTCTGTAGCTTACACCCCCTTGGGCTGTGGCTCCTGACACGTTGGTGAGCCAGCTGCACAGTCGGGAATAAAGGCGGCAATGGCCACATTGTCTCTTCTGTTGTCTTAGGGGTAATTTTTTCCAGTGCAGGAGGTGACTAGGTTCTCCCTTTGTTAGGGAGGTGAGCCCAGACAGGCTGGCGCCAGGAGGGAGCAGTCTCCGCTGGGGCTGTGAATGGGCTCCTGCTTCTGTGTCCCCTTCGCTGTCACTTCTGTTGCTTTGCCCTTCTTGTTGCTAGTGTGAATCAGGCCTGTCTTGCATAATGTAACTGAATATGGCCAGGGTAACGCTATCGCCTGTCTTTGTCCATGTGCTTATCTCCTAACCAAGCATTGACACTCTCCAGAGGTTCCAGCTCTTTGCCACAGCTCACAAATAGCAACAGTATGCTCTGGTTCTGTTGACTGCTTGTAAGCTTACTAAAAAATTTCCATCAACATTAATGGCACTCAGGGAGCTAGTAGTAGATAGGTCATCAGCCATCCACCTAATTGTGATAGGTCCTTTCAGGGGGGTTGCATGATCTTTAAAAGTCACTGGTGCCCGTTCAACTCCAGGGCTCCTAACATAGCTAGTCACTGGTGTTGTGTCTGCTATTTTTCTCTGAAGGGAGTTCACAGAAGTATTGCTTGTCTGTTTGCGGCTTGCCTACAAACCAGGCCTTCTGCACAATGACCTTCTAAGTTGCTGTGGTATATATATTGGCACAGCTATATCCATAATGTTAGCCCCTTCCTAGGAACAGAAAGACTGAAGAACATACAGATTATGTGTCAGAGTCTTTTTTTCACATACCTGATAGTAGCACTACATGATGACAGTGCATTTACTTTATACAGTTTACTTTATACTATCATATAGTAACCACAGGATAGTAAATGTACCTTGAGCTGTTCCACGAACTCAGGCTAATCAGAATAGTCATCCAGCTTCTGGGGTTTTTTTCCCTACCCCATGATGCAATTGCTGAGATGCTTCTGCAGTAGGTCCAGCGGGAAAGCACAAGATGTCCCGGAGAAGCCGTTGACTTCAGCTCATTTCTCGCTGTGGTTTATTGCATCTCTCAAGTTAGACCATTTGTAGTCTGTTCAGCTCCTTGGAAAAAGCCCTGCTTTACACTGAAATAACTCCCTGCCTGGACATTATCATCTTAATTTTTTGCCCTTCCCATCTCTTCAGTTAATGACTAGAGTTCCTGAACATTTCATAAATTGCTGGGGAATAAGTGATTTTCCCCACTTTAAAATCTTGCTGCTGGCAGCCTTGCTTGGGCTCTCTTTTACAGTTCTCTGTTAAACTCCATTTCCCAGCAAATAATCATTTGCTTCTGTTGCTTCTCTCACATGTGGGTCCTTTTGGAACTATCGCCGTACATCATCTTTGTTTGTCCCAGGTTACCAATGTGTCAGTCTCTCTGGCTTCCTTTGTGGAAGGTTTTCTGCAAAGAGTACACGGAATCTGTAAAAAACCCTGACCAAATCAGTTATTGCCAGATGACTAAATTTAGGCTTACTTTTAAATCCAATGTGCCCAGCACTTTCAAGACATCAAGTAATTAATCACTTGTTTAAGTTATAGAAGTGCTTTAAACATGGACTTTTGGGCCTAATGTTAGGTATCTTTTTCTGAAATGTGTTCATGCCAAGAGAATGTCTTGCCCCCCTGCTAAAGTTGTGTCTGTCTGTCTGTCTCTCTAGAATGACTCCTGGGGGAAGCAGTATTCCTATGCGCTGTTCAAGGCAATGAGTCACATGCTCTGCATTGGGTATGGGCAGCAGGCGCCCGTTGGCATGTCAGATGTATGGCTCACTATGCTGAGCATGATTGTCGGTGCCACCTGCTATGCCATGTTCATCGGCCATGCCACAGCTCTAATCCAGTCTCTGGACTCCTCACGGCGTCAGTACCAGGAGAAGGTAAGGACTGGGCTTTGCAACCCTTATGTGACCCTGGGAGGGGTTTACACATTGTCTGGAGGAAGTCAGGGCTGTGAGTAACCTATGTGAGAGGCTGAAGGTATGGTGTCTTTGTCACCACAGCAGATACTGGTAACTCATACCCATTCATTCACTCAAAAACACCTTCAGGAAGAAATAGATGCAAGATCAGATGAATAATATAGGGCAAGCAGGTAATTCTTCTTACCTCTGACTGTCTTTTTAGATCAACGTTATCAGTGTCACTACTATCTAAGATTGTCACTCACTTTTTCCTAAGATTTTGTTTCAAAGCCTAAGTGAATGTTCCAGAATGTGCAGCTTTTGTTTAGCAAGTACTTTGTTTAACGGTATCCAGATTAAACACTCCAGTGCTTATGAGCAAAACTACATAACAAACCCCAAAGCACAGAACAAAGCTCAGGAGCAACAAATAGGTTCCCCAGGTAGATATCGAATTAATTGCACAGTTGTGGAATCGCATAATGTAGGGCACAGACAGAAATATCACAAGTGATCAGGTTACCACTGCAGCTGCAGTAACTGCTGGTGGTGGGTTTAAGGTGATGCTGTGCATTTGTAAGATGCTACAAGTGTAAACAGGGTCAATTGCTGTGATTCCATTGATGAGCAGTAACCCTCTGAACTCCATCAACTCCTTCATTAGTTAGTGCCTTTCCATGCCTTTAGTATATTGCTATCTATACACTCATATTTTGTCACCTAAAAGAAAAGGGTGCACAGGGAAGATAGGGAGCCTGCTAATGCAGTGATGTTTTTCATTCAGAGACGGAGGCAGGCAGAACTTCTGGCTTGGGCTGAACCAGCAGGCCTGCCTCTCAACAGAACAGGAGAGCTCACTGAAGGGTGATTTGTATAACTAAGAGCAAGGGCCTGAGGAAAAGACTTGACAGCAAAGACAGTAGGTTACTTTTAGGCATCAACACAAGCAACTGCCCTCAATTAATAGGACTGAGAATGACATAGTGAAGGAGGTGTCAGGGTCATAAGGATACGTTTGGGCTGAAGATTTAGAAGAGGAAAAACTAGGTGCTTATTCTGACCTTCCCGGGTGCAGGTAGATTAGGTGAGAGGGTAGCTCTTATTCCGATGGGTACAGTATGACTAGCATGCACAGACATAAGAGAAGTGAGTTTGAATAATGAATACAAAGGAAGTTGCTGCGTAAGAGAAAGTAGGAGGACAGATTTGTCAGATGGTTCCAGGAACCGGTTTTAGACACAGAAATCAGAAAGCTGGGCCATAAAAAGAGTTTGCAGCAGGCCAGAGAGTAAAAGCAAAAAAGACCAGTGACTGAATCATGCTTTGAGGTTATGGCTTTCAGAGTTAGAGCTGAAAGAGAGAAAAAAGCAGGAAAGGAAGTATGGAGGACCGGGGTGCAGTCAGAGCACTGGACTTTGTTCTATAGATTTTTGCCACTATGTTATAGATTGGCTAGACTAAGGCGAATTGCGGGTAAGGCGCGCCAGAGAGAAGGACACTGCAGCACTCAGAATGCAAGCTGATCAAATCTGTGTGTGCAGAGTATTTATTCAAATGTGTTTGAAGTAGCATAGAAGTCAAGGACTGATTTGCAAATCCAGCCACCTGGTCATCATAGCAGCAGCCAAGTTTTCACCTGCAAATCTGGGCGCTACGATTTTTTTCCCAGCCAGGTCTGAAGACAAGGGCAGAACTTGACCCTGGGAGTTTGATTCCAGTCAGTGCTCAGGGAAATCAGCCACCAGCATACCAGCAGGGACTGGAGCTGGGGTGGCAGAAGAAGTGTGAAATGTTAAAGCCTGATTAGAATGGCGAGATATGAATGAGAGGGTTAATAGTTTCAGGAGAAAAGCTTTGTGACAAAAGCAGTGGGTAGAGGATTTAACAAAGGATGTATTTCATGTGTAGTGGTTATAGCAGGTTCATTTCCCCAGGTATTCTCCTAGGAACAAAGCCTCAGGGATTGAGTACATTCAATTTCCTCTTGCAAATGGGACAAATGATGGCCTGAAACAAATATGTATTTGCTTTGTGCATTCCTTAGCACTTGAATAGCCATGATTAAAATGAAGCTGCTTTCGTGATTTGCAGCCCTGCAACTCAATTTAGTTCGGTCCTCAAGGGACTATGTGTCTGTTGAAGCACATTATAAGCAAAGAATCTCAACAGGTTTGCAGGGTCGATTGCCAGAAGCAGAAAGCAGTTTGGAAACTTATGCTGAGTACACCTTTGGGCTGCCAACAGAGCTCTGCCTCTCACCTCCTCCGAGGATCTCAGGCTACAGAGACTCTTGCAGCTATTTAGGGAGTGGCCAAAGAAAGGGGAGGCAATGGGGAGGGGGACAAAAGGCAGAAAAGCACATAGAACAGAACAGAGGAGTATACCTAGTAACTTTACTGATGGGCTTTGCTTTGTGTAACCTTCAGGACAAAATTCAGGAGTGAGTTTGTAGTGAAGTTTCAGGCTGGTCTATGTTTCTGCCAAACCAACTTGTTCTGGCCTTGTACTAACAGAGCTTCTGAGAAGAGGAATTGAAGCCAAGATCTGCTGTCTTTTGGCTTCAACAGCAGGCTTCTCTCAGTAAACACTGCATGATTTGGCCTCATCTTTCACTCGGGGTTGGATTCGTTGAACATTTGGACACTCTATCCCTGTCCTCCAAATATTCTTTTGTTGTGGCATCTGAACTTCACACTGTGCTGGTCTCTGCAAGACAAGGAAGCCTACAGGGCAGATGGGGTGCTTAAGAAGCATAGAGAATTTTGAGGGGGAAGTTGCATGCTCCAAGACAGTGTGGTGCAGAGGTTTCTGAGTACGTGAGAGAGTGCTGGAATACCCATGTGACATAATGCGCTCACACCAGCTCAGGTCTTGGAAGTGGCACAGCCATCATGTAAGTACGGCTCTGAGTCTCCCTTAAAAAGCTCTGAGTCAGAAGAGCTCTTTAGCTCTGGCACTCAGAGGTGACTGTTAGTTCCAGTCCCGGAGGCAAAGTTAGAAGGGACTCCTCTGTCCTATCCTGCATTGCAGAGTGCGTTATGCCCTAATGACTTGCCCATGGTCACACAGAAAGTCAATGGCAGAGTCAGGAGCTGACCGCTATCTCTGTACCTCAGTCTAGTGTCGAACTCTACAATGTCTTTGCACGCAGGATAGGTTTCCTTTTTCCTGCTTAAGAGTAAAGGGAGGATATCACCACAGGTCCAGCCTGAAGGATTCTGATTGATAGAAAAATTTCCTAAAGGCATGGCGTCTATAACTGAGTTGATCTAACAGCTCCAGCTGAAAGGGATCGCACACAAGCAGTCTCTCCAAGTGCTTCCTGCCCCTACTCCCAGCTGCACAGTTTCACCTCACATATTCCCCCTCTCATACTTCTCAGACCTTTACTGAGCTGATTTGGTCCACTGACCTGGCAGAAGGCTATTTACTTTCTTTTTTTTCTGGGTTAGCTTTCTGCCAGATTAGTGGATTGAATCGTGTAACTTCAGAGTCCAGTGAATGCCAGAGCTGCTGTGGGATGGTGGTGGAGGAGGTCTATAAGCAAGAGCAGAGGCACAAGGCCCCATTCGGCTGTTCCTAGATCAGCTCAAGCCCTAAAACACAAGTTCATCTTTGACTGTGACTACCCCACAACCTGTGGTAACTGTGGCTCATAAGAGAGGAAGTGGTGGTTTCTGTCCAGAAGATAAGTAAACTAGACTGATCTGCAAGTTATTTTCATGCTTTCTTCAGGTTCCTCTATTAGTTTCTTTCTGTTGTACTAAAGCTCAGCTGGATTAATATCTGTGTCAAGTCACCACACATACGTACACATACACATACCCTCCCCAACAGACTCTCTAACCTTGAGCCCTTTGGGAGCAGTGATTATGCTTCCTACTGCAGCCATGCTCCTTGGAACAAAGCAGAGAGCTCTGGGCTCTGCTCTCCCATCCCAGCAGGATGCAAGCAGTGATGGGGATCCTGCAGAGAGGATTGGCTCTGTTGTGTTATCTTCTTAGATACATCCAGAAGAATGACTGATGAGGAATTGCTGTTCTCAGCAATGCAGAGCCCAGCAAAGCTGTAATCTCTCCAGATTCTCATCGCTCCTCAAGATCTGTCTGCTACACTGGTATTCTCGCAAACTCTCTGCTCTCCACACTCATTCTCCTGCTCCCCATTCCTCCTGAATGGTCTATTCAATGCCTTTTGCTCTAAAAATATATACTGACACTAGGTAGATAACTTGCATATTCAGTTGTTATTATGCTGAAGAAGCACCTGCTGCAGTACAGTGGCAAGGGGGCAAGGAGGTAGCGTTACAGCTATAAAAATAAATCCCTCTACAAAAGCACTAATGATGTCACCTCTTAGTTCCTGAAAGAGCCCTGCTTAAACATAAGGACAGTTCTTCTTGTCACAGTTTTATCCTGTATCCTGTATCCTTTATCCTGTCTGGTTATCCGAGTGATCCAATTTGGATCCAAGTGATCCACTGTCCAGCTCTCACTATTTCAGCCCTTCCATCATTGGCCTGAACTCAGCAAAGAGGATTTAGATAGTGGTTATTGGGGAAGACTTAGTAACTGTAAAGACTGAAACATACTACCTGGAAAATGCTGTCTTTGTTGGAGGTCAAAGCAGACGTTAGACTAATATTCATTAGGGGGAAGATGGGAGATTCTGTTTCAGGCAAGAGTCTGGACCAGGTGATCTCATGTGGTCCTTTCCACGGCATCTCTGTGGGACAGTTTGAGTCAAGGTGAACTTCTCAGCAGAATGGCTTGATGTCACTGGCCAAAGATGAAGGTTTTCATTCCTCAGACTCTCCATCGCAGCTCCTGCATCTTCCCCGGAGAGCTACACTAAATCCACAGAACGAGTTATTCCCATGAAAACAGAGGTAGATTGGGGGCTGGATCAACTCTGAGGACTTAGGTTCAACGCCCAGAAAACACAAAGAGCGAAAGGACCACACTGCCATTGCATCA